TCCACATAAATTCGTATACATGTGTGCATTTGCATGCACATGCATTGGAGTTCAAAGGCCAATGCTGGGTGTCTTCCTCAATCACTCTCTCCATGTTTTTTTGAGACACGGTCTCATTATTCACTTTAGTTTTGCAGATAGTCTCCTACTGAACCTTCAGCAAGCCCCAGAATCCTGTCTTCACTTTGCACTGCTGAGATTATAGTGGTACGCTGCTATGCCCAGCTTTTTACATGGGTGTTGGGGATCAAACTCAGGTCCTCATGCTTGTGTGGCAAGCATTTTACTAAATCATCTCCATAGCCCTCCTAAGTAAAATGTTCTGAGGTTTCCTATATGTTTGAAGTTTTCATAATAAAATGCTGGGGGAAATGTAGCATTAAAAAAATTTAGAAAATTCAAATTCTGAAAACAAAGGTATGTTTATTGAAAACAGAGAGAGCAGAGGAAGGACCTGTCTCCTCTCCAGCCCTCTCAGATTCTGCTCTCTGTCTGCCGGACTCCTGATTACCACCACCTTTGAGCCAATGCTGAATCCCCCTTTCTTCCCTGCTCCCAGGCTTGACAACCCTTTTCCCAGGGTAAAGGAGAAATAATTTCTAAAGACGCTGGCAGAGTTCCTAAACTAGAGAAAGGATGTTGGAACAAGATTTTGAAAGGCTAGCATGCCTCCCTGTAATGGTGCCAGGGCAATGAATTCCACTCTCCAGCCTTCTAGGGAGCACCCTCCACCTCTGAAAACTCCATACCTGTCCTGGGAAGAGGAAGTCTGCTCTGTCCAGAGGCTTCTCAAAATGAAAACAGTGCAGAGGGAGGAAGGGAGGAAAGAAGAAGGAAGGAGAAAGGGAGGGAAAAGGAAGGAGGGGCGGGGAGGGAAGGCTAGCTCAGTGGGAGGACAGAGACATACGCTAGATTCTGAACCACTGTGAATCCTTGTTCTTTAAAAATAATCATCAGATAATAGCGTCCTGCTTTGCTCCACAAAAGCTCCCCACTGAGCGTCCAAGGAACACTGACTGGTCTTTCATTCAGACCCAAACCATCTAGATTCAAACCTTGTTCCTACCACTGAAGAGCAGGACTGGGTGTCACAGGAGTTCAAGGCTTGGGTAGTAGACATTGGAAAGACTGCAATCTAGGTCTTCATATTCTCTCTCTCTCTCTCTCTCTCTCTCTCTCACACACACACACACACACACACACACACACCAGGAGCTAGAATCTTGTCCCTTGGCCAAATCCCTTGTCTAGATTATGGAATACCACCTCAGGCTTTCCTCCCAGAACATTCTAAAGCTGGCCTTTAACCACTGGTTGAGGCTGGGGGAAGGATGGGGCCCAGTTCCACCTCTCCCCCAGAACCCAGCAGGACACCCCATGGGTCTGCACCCTACAGGCCCACAGGTGTCACTATAGAAATCAGACTTGACCTGTGTGCATTTCCCATTATTTGGTCCAGGTAGTAGAGGCCCTCTCCCAAGCCTCTACTGGAAAGGGGACACCTGCACACCCACGGGGCCCAGGCAGACTTACCATCATGGATAAGCAGGTGTGGCCTCAAGCCTCGCTCCTTTAGGATCTGGCAGGCAGCTGGTGCTGGGGCAGTCACCTCTCCCTCAGAGATGTCAAATCCCAGTCGCCGAAGTAGCCCCACCAGCTCTCCTCGGGACTTCTGGGACTCATTGGTACAGAATCTCACCTTCAGCCTGGACTGCTTCAGTCTGGGGTACAAAAACATAGACTCAACATAGAAAGAGTGTGGCCTCCTGAGAAAGGACCCAGACAGGAACATTTTTTTCACAAGCAAAGGGCTAAATACCAGTACAGGGCAAGTCACTGTGAGTTCTTAAGTGGGCCCTGACTGACACAGGTGTGTTCAGAATGAAATTTCATAGCTAGAACATACTACTTCTTAGGGGCACCAAAGTATGATCCCAAATTTCCTGTCCATGCTCACACAACCTGAGTCACATGAGACCCAAGGCTCCCCATCTGACCTCTGCTTAGAACACTCCACCCTTCCACCTGGGACACATCACCTTTTCTTGCTACAGCTACTCCCCTCCCATTCCTAGGCCCTCAGCACCCCTTCCACATGACCCACGTGGCCTAGGTGCAGGCCACTTCAGAATGCCCAGTTATCTCTGTGTCATTCCATAGCTCTTGGTGTTTTTACTTTGCACTTGGCCCCCGTGCCCATGGCTTACTAATGGTAGGCCATACTTCCACAACAGTGTCAGGCAGAGGGACCAAGCCAAGATTTGTCTTCTCATCTCAGTCAACAAACAGGGTCAGCCAGAGATGAGTATCAGGGACACACATGGATCGTTCCACGTGGAGGTGGAAGCCCCACCCTGCACAAACCCAGAACCAGGATCCCATGAAACTGAGAAGATACACTGACACCAGCGGTGTACTATGGCCCTTCCTTCTGGGGGTCCGGGTGGCACCTGGGTGATTTCTCTGGACACAAACCACACAAAGGATGCCTCAAAGGTCCCCAGTGAAAAGATGTTGAGCATGAATACAAATAGCTGTAGTTGGTACACACTGCGTGCTAGGTGAGGCTGGGGCATCTGCTTTGAGCGCAAGCAGGCCTTCCCCAGCCACAGTCCTGGGATGGCATGAAGGCCAGCAGTGAACAGAAGGACTGCAAGGGAAGGCTGACTGCAGCTAGGAGGAAAGGGGCCATGAAGGACACAAATGGGGTAAAGAGACAAAGGCTGGGCAGGAAGGTTGGGGAGACCTCACTGGGAAGCAACCTGGAGCTGACACCTGAGGAGAAGGCACCAGCCAGCCATGCAGCGAGTGAAGGAAAGGCCACCCCGTAGAGGGAGGCAGTCAGCACACAACACATCTGCATAGGGACAGGAGGCTGACAGTCCAGTGCCCACCAGGGACCAGCATGTAGGAAGAAGGCACAGAGACAGGCAGCCCAGGCTCATGCATGTGTGAGGAGTGACAGATGGGACCTTGTCCCCCTGGCTCCCTAGCTCAGACCACACAGCCTTCAACAAGCCTGACTGGCGAGGCAGTGATCGTATCTGGTATCTCTCTACACAAAACCACAGTTTTAAGAAAGACCTAGGGCTGCACACCCAAAGACCAGGGAGGTGCTTTTTAAAAATCCTGGGATAAAGCAGGAGGATCTTGAGTCCCAGGTCAGTCAGAGCCACATTGATAAAAGTCTATCTAAAAAATTAACAAAAAACAACAAAACCCCCACATGTATAAAGCCGGCATGTGGGAGGCTGAGGCAGGAGGAAGGCCATGAGGTCCAGGCCGGTCTGGACGAAGGATGCCAAGGCTGGCAACCTGAGTTTAACTCCCGGGACCTACACGGTAGAAAGGGAAGAAGCAAATATTCCAAGTTGTCCTACGACTGCCTCCCATGTGCCACAGCAGGTGTCACACACACACACACACACACACACACACACACACACACACACACAGACGTAATTTAAAAAAATAAAAAAGGTAAGTTTTAACAAAATTAAGCATCTATACTGATGGGCACCTGGCCCTGCTCTCAGATGTGTCCCCCAAAACATTCATCTCATCAGTCTCCAAAGATGCTGGAAGATGTCTTGGTTTCATGCATTCTCTAAGCTTTGCATTCATTCATAGTGTTAAGTGCATAATTTATGTTTAATAATGGGTATACATATGGTAGACGGATGTGCTCAAGTTTTCTCTTTACAGAAGTGGCCCCAGTCTAAGAAGTCCAGAGCTGACATGCAGATTAGATTCAGTTGTGCAAAACTGAATCAACCTCCATTTGAAATCAACCTCCATTTGATGGCCAGGGAGACTCAACCAAAGTCACAATCAATCCCTGTGAGGACATAACTTAGCCCACTTCACGGGTGAGGAAATCGAGTCCCAGGAACGTCCAAGGCTTTCTGCCCGACTTCCTGAGCCTGAGACCCTGGAGACAAGGGTCAAATCTTATTGAAGATTCATGGAACAGCCAGGCCCAGGAGAGTTGTGCAGACTAAGCAAGACAAGGGGGAGCAGCCCACTCGTGCAGGTATCCAGGTGTGCCAGCCCACCCTGCAAGGTAGAAAAGTGGTCATCAAATTAGGGTAAGTGGAAGGTGAGGCTGGAAGATAAGGCTGGGTGGTCGACCATGGAGGGGGCAGGGCAGAGTTAGACATCTGCCCCCTATGGGGTAGCAGGGTCATCAAATAAGATGGGCAGCAGGTAGGAAAGGCAGTAGGTCCACTCCAGTGTCCCCTCAGCCCACCATCTTCAGTGATATTAGTCCCCCTTGTCTTTCTAAATACTGCCTCTACTTCTCTAGGACATCCACATCGCCAGTGTTCTGATTCACATAATTGCTTACTGTCCTTCTGCTCGACCCACATACTCTGGGTGTCCAGCAATAGGGTCTGTTGCATTCTGTGTAGCATCCCTGGTATTGGGCACATAGCAAGTCCTTGGAAAAGTCTAAAAGTCTTTAACTGCTGCTTCCCTTAGGCTGTCCTGAGCCTGGAGAACAGCCCCCCAAGTCCCATAGAAACAGAATTTCAGTGACCCTCCCAGCCCTGGGGCTACCAGGTGCCATTTATGAAGAAATCTGCAGCTCCGCAGGCTGCAGTGAACAGACTGAGATGCTGACCACTTCTCCCAGTCCAGGTGATTCATCCCTTTCTTACTGTTTGTCTTTCCTAATCAGAGGTTTATGAATGATCAATTACACCCAGTGGTTAATTGCCCTTCATAAAGATAGCTTCTTTTATTTTTAAATTAGGCAGTTAATATATTGTAACTAATAGCATCACCTTGTCTATTATGGATGGATCCTCATTGATTGGTGCCTGGAATGTGTGATTCGCACCCAAGTTAATGGAGCAGTTGAGTAAAGAAGTGCAAGGGTCCCAGGGGACTAATTACTACTAATGAATGATGATGTGACCTTCTCAGAACAGTGAGCAATCGGTGTGACAGCAAGATGGCAGAGCCTCACATCTGTCACTCCAAACACAACTTCAGATGAGGGCGGGAGGGTGTCACTCACACCCCAGCTCCTTTGAGATACCAACATAAGTTTGTCAGAAATAAACGCTTTCCTAATTCAAGCACTAGTTTTAGAGATGGAATCTGTCTGGGGACAATGGGGCAGGAACTGGGTGGGCAGAACCCTCCCTCTGGGTCCTGTCCCTTTGTGCCACCTTTTTACACATCACCACAGGGCCTGTGACCACCAGGAGCAAGCCCTGAGTGGTATCTTTATTATTTAAAGTCACTGTTATCATTAAATAGTAGAGCAGTGGTATAAAGTTATATGGTGTCACTGTGTTCAGTGTCCGTGGCCTGATCTTGTCCTCACACCCCCAGAGCCGGACCTGCTCACAGTGGCCTTTGCTACTGTCCTAGCTACTTTCCATTGTTGTGATAAAAACACCAACCAAAACCAACTTGAGAAGCAAAGAGTTTAGTTTATTTTACATCTCCCAGGTCAGAGTTCATCACTGAGGGAGGTTAGGGCAGGAACCTGGAGCCAGGAGCTGAACACAGGCCATGAAGGAACGCTGTTTACTGGCTTACTTCTCCAGCCTGTGCTCAACCTGCTTTCTTATACAGCACAGGACCATCTGCCCAAGGATGGCATGGCCCACAGTGGGCTGTATCTCCCATATCACTCAACAATCAAGAAAATGCCTCACAGGCCAGTCCAATGGGGAAAAATTCATCAATTGAGGTTCCCTCTACTTAGGTGTGTCAAGTTGACAACTGACACTATCCAGCACAATTATATATCTGTCTAGGAGCACACGGCTGACTGACCCAGGTCACCCAACCTGTGAGTGCAGTCTATGGGGCCATCAGCCATTCATGAAGGTGCATGCAGGCCGGTGAACAGAAACCCCTGGGACCCTTGAATGTAATACTGTGCCCTGGGCAGGGCCCAGCAGGCCCAGTTTTGCTGTGGGGAGTCCTACCCTAGGGAGCAGTGTGATAAGTGTGGGTCTTTCTTACCTGTGTGTGTACCTGGGTAGAAGCTGAGATGGGCAAAGAGCTGCACAGCAATGTGAGACCGTGATATGGACTGAACTGTGTTCCACCAAATTCCTACACTGAAGCCCTAACTCCCAGTGTAATGGTACCTGGAGACAGGGTCTATGAGTGGGAAATTATGGCTAAGTAGAATCATAAGACAGGATCTTGGGGCTGGAGAGATGGCTCAGTGGTTAAGAGCACTGACTGCTCTTGCAGAGGACCTGGGTTTGAGTCCCAGCACCCACAGGGCAGCTACTAATCATCCTCAACTCCAGTTCCAGGGGAATCCAAAGCCCTCTTCTGACCTCTGTGGCTTTGCACAACATGGGTGCACTCACATACATGCAGGCAATACACTCATACACATAAAATTTAAAAAAAAAGAAAAAGACAGAATCTCTGATATGATAGGATTGGTGTCTCCAGATACCTTGTGGGTGTGGTGACATGTGCATGTAATTCCAGCACTGGAGGCAGAAACTACAAGTTTAAGACCAACCTGGTCTATACAGCAAGTTCCCGGCTAGCCAGAAATACATAAAAAAAGACCCCATTGTAAAAAAACAAAGGACCAGAGCGCCCTGTTGCATGCCATCTTTCTTCCCTTCCTTGATCCCTCTCTTTTTCAGTGCACACACAGTAAAAAGGTCATGTGACCATGGACAAGATGGCCACCATCTACTAGCCAGAAAGAAGCCCTCACCAGAATGTAACC